TATCTAAACAGTCATTACAGATATTGAAATGTAGCCAAATGTCCAAAATGGTTATCCTTATTCATATTTTATGTTTACCATTTTACTTCAGTCTTTTATGGAGTGTTTCCATATCAATCATCTCAAAGCCAGCATTTAAACAGTAACATTTGATGAATGTTCAATTATTTGTAGGCATACAAAAATGTTATGTTCAAGAGTGGATCAGACAGAAAAGTAACACTCAAATAAAATCGAAATAGTACAGATAATGGAGAGCTGAAATAAAAATAGAAAGTGCTGAGAAAATCAGCAGGTCTATTGGGGCAGAAACAGATGTTTCAAGTCCAATGACTCTGCAAAGTTGTTTTCTATGTTTTACATAAAAACTTCTGGTTTTTCAATTTAACCAAAAAAAAAGCATTCATTTTTATTTAGATTCCCACATTTTTGTTGATGTGGGTTAAGTAAGTCAGGGATTGAATTTGAATGACTTTTAAAAAAGAGGATGGGAGTCACATTGTATGATTAACTCTTCTCAGCCTGTTCATCATGATGCAGGTGATGTGTTAGATTTGCAGTGCCTGTTCTTTTAGATGATAGCTGCATGCAAATAGCAGTTCTCACACCATTCATTAGCGCACTGCATTGGCTGAGGACCTAATATCGCCAGTGACTAGCACCACTTAAAGGCAGCCTGCTTCTCTTGAAGGTGAGGTGTATTTGGGCTAAAAGGCAAAGAGGAGGTCCTTTGAAAAGTGAATTTAGGCTTTGGAAGATTGAAAAATGGTTGTGCATGTGAGAGAGCATGCACTAAAATGTTCTGATAATGAACTGGAGGTCTTGGTGCATAGCCCAGAGATAACAGACATCCAATGTCTGCAGAGGTGGGGGTACAGGAAGACCTTCAGATATATGTTCAGCAGTCAATGGGAAGAAATAGCATTGAAACTGAATGCCAAGCCTGTGGCTCCAAGAACATGGATGCAGTGCAGAAAAACGTTTAGCCATCTTAAACAAATTACTGCGGTAAAGAATTACAATTTGCCAACTGCTGCACATGCCTCACCCAATTCTCATTTAACTACAACTATAATGCTGTCATGCACCTGAAAGCAGTCGCTGTATATCAGTACTCAACCGTTCATATATGTTATGTACACTTAACATTGAGGTAAGCTTTGCATCGATAACTCACATCTCACGCACATTGGCAGCATTTCCACCATGACAGCAACAGCATACAAACACATTTTAGGACAATATTTGACACACTTCACTCCTTCATATGGTGCATAACAGAAGACAAAGGAGTACAACAGGTGTCTGTGTGTATTTTAACCCCAATGGATTGTTGACCATCATGAGAAGGGGAAATGTATGAAACAATGGCCATTAGTGGTACTGGAGGAATCAATAATACAGATTGTTTCCTGTGTCCTTATTTTCCTTCTTTCTTTCAGGTTCTGCCTTTTCCCAATCTTTTGATTTATGGTTGCAGATTATTGATGCGTTGTCGTTCCCCTCATTTAGACAAGAATTGAGGAAGAAAACAGATGATGACTAGATGCCATCACTCAGTTTTTCAATGATAGCCATCAGCTCAGATGCTGACACTGAATGTACTTTTGGATGGAAGTGGGACTCATATTTGGTGAGACTCTGGGTGCAAATCTACAAAAACTCAGATGAGGATAAAAGGATACAGCTTGGTGCCCACTCATCAGAGAATGAGATCAAACACTAGTTCTGGTGCAGAGGAGTCAGGTGAGGCTTGCAAAGGACCAGGCTACAGAAGAATATTGATGGGTGTACACGACAATACGTTTTGTGCACTTGAAATAATGGCAGAAAGCTTACATATAATGTGAGGAGCATTGAGAGTTTTAGTACCACATGGTACAGGGCTGTGCACTGAGCTTGGGGCCCATCCTTTCCATCATGGAGTGGCTGGGCATCTGCAACAGCACATCAGTGAAACTCTCCATGATGAAGTGTCTGATGCCTACTGCCACAGGTTTATTTTCAGATTCCATCAATGATCAGAGATTGTAATGAAAGCTCAGATTGCTGTCATGCAAACTCAGAATTCCACCATCGTGGCTTTGGATGCCACTGATCAAAGTCATTTCTGCATGAAAGTTGGGAGTTGCACATTGGAACAATGTAGAAATTTTGATACAACTGACTCTGCAAGAGTTGCCCAGGAAATTTAAAGTTTGTTACGGCAATTACCCAGCATTTGGAACCCTTTCAAAAAGGTTTCAGACAATTCCAATCCACTTCAGCTGAATAGCTACCCAGGAAAAGTTAAGAGGATCAAAAACCTACTTTTAAAATGAAGCCTTGACGTGCTACTAACAACTACAAAATCGTGGACTCAAATGAGAAAGATTTGTTTTAGAACCAATATTACAAAGATTACTGCCTATTGTGAAAGGCAAGTAACCGGACATACAATGCAAGCATTGTTTAAACACCTCAGAGCACCAGTAGTTGTAGTTTAGGTTACAAATGAACTGGAGTTGAGAGATTATATTCAGATGGAGCTTTGGTTTGCAACAAGAAGTTGTTTAGTCAGTGGACTGATGACTACTTATCAATGATAAAGGTCTTTTGTCTACCAACAACCATGTAATTAGTTCTCAAGTAACTGAACAGCCTAGGGCTAGGAACAAGATACAGAGAGAAATGATCAGATCCCCACCAACTGTGTTCTCTGCGGGCTAAACCCACTTCAAATCTGAAACAAACCAGCTAATCTTTCCTTCAGCAGTTGCTCTGTGCTATGACTTTTAAATGATAACTCAGTTGCTTTTTTAAGTGAACCAGCCAACCTATCCCTCTTGCAAACTAGTGAAAGCATTCAGAAGAAGAAGCCAAAAAGAAATCTTCAGATCAGCAATTATGAACTCAACAAATCTTGTGAACAAAGACTATTAAACTGCTTTTCTAGTTTTCCCGCTAACCATGTATGTTTTCACTATCTACATCTGTCTGTCTGCATGCGTGTAAGGAAGAGTTTATAAGGTGGTTAGAATTTTAATTTTCAGTGCTATATGTTGACTGTTTATAACGGTTTACTTGAAGCTAGAGTCTAATTACTTGTATAGTAATTCTTGTTAAGCACAGAAATCTGGTTTGTACTTTCTATCAACTTGAGTCTGAAAATTAGATACATTGGGCAAGCTTTGCCATACTTATATAAAAACCTTGAACCTTAGTGATGACTCAAGGAAAAGTGGGGCTTGATTTCTAGTGCACCACCCTAATGAGCTGTGACAAAGTATATAAAAAGAAAAAAAGAGCAGCTGAAGAGGATAAGTCTATGAAATTTCTAACAGTAAACAAGAAAATTGCAGAGGTTTTGAGCAAGGATGTTGTATGTGTTTTCAAAGTAGAAGGGAGGAATTTAAAACAATCACAGTCACTAGAGAAATGTCCTGGGGAAACTGATGTGACTAAAAGATAACATGTTCCTTCTGCCTGATTTCTAGATTTTAAAATAAGTGGTGAAAAATGTGGTTGTAATCTTTCAAATACTCATATTCTGGAAAATTTCCAACAGATTGGAGCCACAAATGTAACACCTCTATTCAAGGAAGGGGAGAGATGAAAGGAGAAAAATATAGGCCAACAAGCCAGGTATTTGTCATTGGGAAATTGCTAGAATATATGAAGCAGGCAGAGACAACATTGATTTGTGAAAGGGAAATAATGTTCAACAAATTTATTGGAGTGTGTTTGAAGAACAAGGGGATGGATAAAAGGGAACCAGTTGGTGCATTTGAATTTCCAACAGGTATTCAATAAGGTACCAGAAAGAAGTTAATATGTAAAACTAGATAACACGAAGTTGGGAATGATATATCAACATACTGACAGGGAAATGTAGATTAAGATAAATGAGTCATTTTCAATTTAGTAGTATGTAATCGGTGATGTATCACAGGAATCAGTTCTGGGTCTCAACTATTTATGAGGCCATAGTAGTAATGTCAGAGGCCCAGGCTAATACTTTGGGGGCACTGGTTCAGATTCCACCATGGCAGGTGGTGATATTTAAATTCAATTAATAAATCTGAAATAAATGCTAGTCTCTGTGATGGTAATCGTGAAACTGTTCCTTAGAGTTTAGAAGAATGAGAAGTGATCATATTAAAATGTATTGGATTCTGAAGGCACTTGACAGGGAAGGTGCGAAAGGACATTTTCTCTTGTGGCTGAATCTAGACCTAGGGGTCACAGATAAAAAATAAGGATAAATGTTAACTCTTTTTCACTCTCCACAAATGCTACCAGACCTGCTGAGTTTCTCTGGCACTTTCTGTTTTGCTTCGGATCTCCAGCACCCACAGTATTTTGCTTTTATCAAAAATAAGGCAACTCCCAGATATGAGGAGAAATTTGTTCTCTCAGAGGATTGATAGTCTTTGAAATTCTTACCTCATAGGAGTCTGGGTCAGTGATTATATTCAAGGCTGAGATACAAGCAAGTCAGGGGTTACAGGGGCAGATATTAAAAATGGAATTAAGGCCATAATTAGATCAACCATGATTCTATTGTATGGTGGAGTAGGCTTAATGGACAAGATGGCCCACTTCTTTTTTTTATGATGTTATGACATGTAAAATGGAAAGTGTTTTAACACCAGTAGCAGGTCAAATTAATTACAGCGTGGCAAGCTTATGTAGTGGATTCAATGGTAAATGTGAGTCTAGGATATTATTATGGTAATATGTTGACACAACATGGCTAAAGGAAATAAGATTTTGAAGGCAGAAAATGCGTACAGATATAGTAATGTTTAATATATTTTAAACACAGTTCTTGAAATTATGGTAAGATTAGGAACACATCCTTGATTAAAATAAATGTATCATTGCTGTCACTAAAATGGTGATCTAATAAATTTAATATGAATATATTAATCCATTTCTCACCAATTTTTGCAAAGCATAACTCCAAGCCATAAATTTAACATTTTCTCATTTCAATAATAGACTTTTTTTTGCACTAGGGTGAAATGGGACTACCAGGTGTACCTGGATCAAGAGGACTATCTGGACCTAAGGTATTGTACATGATACTGTCGATACAACATACCAGGCACTTACATATTTATCAATGAGAAATTGTATATGAAATGATAACATTTACAAATGCTTTCACTATTATACTGCATTTATTTGAAATTGCCTTCATTTTCATTTGTATTCCAACTTCATAGCGGAACTAATGCAGAACAAGTATCCTTCAGCAAAACTACCTTTATACGGAGCTGGCAATGAGTAAGAATCCTTTTAAAGGATTTTTGTCAATATAGATTCAAATTTGCAGCTGTTAAGATATTTCATATTTAAAGAATGAAAACCCTTTATCATGTGGCTTGATGCCTCAGTATGAGTTTGAGTTCAAAATAGACTGGACAAGGAGAAGTCAAAGTCAAGAATTGTCTTCAGACTTAGACCTTCAAAGTAATGTTATTTATTATAAACCAATATGAAATACTTCTCTAAGTGGTAATCATAGATATATAAGCCTCCAATCTTAGTATTACATTAGGTCAGGATTAACCTATCTTCGTGTGTCCATGTCCATGTGCTGTTAAGACTCTCAAGTTCCAGGGTGGCAAGGTGGCTCAATGGTTGGCACTGCTGCCTCACAGCACCAGGGTCCCAGGTTTGATTCAAGCCTTTGGTGACTATTTGGAGTTTGCATGTTCTCCCTGTGTCTGTAAGGGTTTCCACCAATAGCTCCAGTTTGCTCCCACCGTCCAAAGATGGGTAGGTTAGGTGAATTGGCCATGCTAAATTGCTCTTTAGTGTGTAGGCTACATGGGTTAGCCATGGTAATTGTGTGTTAACGGGGATAGAGTGAGATGCTGTTGGGAGGGTCACTGTAGACTCACTGGACCAATTGACCTCTTTCTGTAGGGATGCTATGTTTCTAGCATAGTGTAGTCGTTTTCTAACTCACCGCATACCGTGATATTTATGCTTAATGATATCCACCTCCATGGCATCACTGTAAGACTGTTCCAGGCTTCTGAAGTCCTTACACAATAGAAATTTAAGATTATCTGATTTGAAATGTGGTTTATCTCTGATTAGCAACCAAAAATATTAGTCTTCATGTTTCCACCTGGATTTTTTGCCCACGCAGACATACATTTCAGTAATCACATTTGGCCCACACATTGGCTCTGATATTTATACACATGAAATCAATGAAGGCTAAGTGAAATAACTCCATAGAGACTGGTATCCCATCACTTAGTCCCTCTTTATTTACACATGGAGAGTCTTTGACATTGATCCAGCTCCTTCTGAGCCAGTTCCTGTTTTTATCTGTTAGCCAGGGCTCAATGATTGGACCAGATTAACAGCCCCAGTCAGGGAACTCATATTCTATGAGATCTACCTGGCCGACCTTGTTACAATCACTACACTAATGTACATATTCAGTTAGCTGGTAGGAAGGCTAATGGAATGTTAGCCTTTTTGCAAGAGGATTTAAGTAGAGGAATAGAGAGTGCAACAAAGATCCATCAGACTTATTCTCAGGATGGCAGGACTGTCCAGTGAAGAACAATTGGGTAAACTAGGCATGTATTCTCGAAGGATGAGTGGTGATCTCATTGAAACCTACCAAATACTTAAAGGCATAGACAGAATCGATGCGGTAAGATTTTTTTTCTGGTTCGTCTGACTAGAACCATGGGGGCCACAATTTAAATTCGATACATTAGATACATAAATACATTAGATTCGAGATGTGTTTTGTTTTACTCAGAACATTTGGAATTTTCTACTACAGAGTGCTCTGAAAGATCAATCTTTGAATCTGTTTAAGTTAAAGAATAATAGTTTTCTAATTACCAAGGACATACAGTGTTATGGGGATGGGATTGTTCAAAGGCATTGAACAGTTGATCATGGAATGAATGGCGAGGCATTCTTAACAAGCTGAATAACTTATGCCTGTTCTTATGAAGGAAATCGAAATTGGCTGGGGACATGCAGATTTTATCAACTTTAATGGCAGGGTATGTTTATAGCTTTTTCAAACATTACATAAGTTATAGCCAACTAATTTGACAGGTTGGTTGGCAGTCAACATGATGATCAGCAGCAAAAGTTGCAGCTGAAGTAACATTGAGATGGTTTCCTGCAATCGAGGGAGGCTAAGGATTTAGCGGGAGGGGGTAGAGTCCATCATTTTGATGGTGTCAGCAGAAGGCTGAAAGGCTGGATCTCATATTGTGAGCCTGAGGGTAACCATGATCACAGCAGTGGGGAAGAGAAAACCTGCAGTCAACAAAGGGAGTTCGCTTCTTGGCCACAAGGGCAAAGTGATTCCATAACCAATGGATCAGACCTAAACCATACAGTCCTTTCACATCCAGTCTTTAATGGTGGTGGACAGTTAAACAGCCAGTGGTGTAGGCGACTCCAAGAATATTCCCATCCTCAACAATGGGGGGGACCTAGCACATCAGTGCAAAAGACAAAATTGAAGCAGAATTGAATTTGTAGCCAGGTGTTCTGTGTGGATACATTTCAACATCCTCCTAAGGCCCCCATCATCACAGATGCCAGTCTTCAGCCAACTCGATTCAATATAGTAAGGGGTATTCTCAATGCGAAGATGGATTTTTGTCTCAGCAATGACTGTGGGGTGGTCGCTAATTCTGCATACCCTAAGCACTACCTGCTTAATTGTTTAGCACACCCCACCTCCCTCAAACGTTACAGCTGTGGCGTCCAGTTTCTTTTCCCATACTAGTTGCTTACCTATTATTCCGGGGGGAAGCATCTCAAAACATGACAGAAAGAATCAAGACAAGTGATGGAAATGGAATTATTGGAAATACTCATTGTGTGGCACAAATGTTATTTTGACACTTGTCAACCAAATCCTGGAAATAGGCCCAGGTCTTGGTGCATTTGAACACAGAACACTTCAGCATGGTGCTGAAAGTTGTGCAAGTATCAGCGAACATCTCCACTTCTGACCTCATGATGATGGAAGGTGGTTGATGAAACAGCTGAAGATGTTTGGGTTGAGAGCAATAACCTGACAAACTCCTGAAGGGATATCTTTGAGCTGAAATGACTGATCTCGAACAATCATAGCCATCTTCCTTTGTGCCAGGTGTGACTGCAACCAGTGAAACATTATCCCCCGATTCCCATTAACTCTAATTTTGCTAGAGATCCTTGACGTCGTATTCACCTCCCTCTGGTGTTCAGCTCTTCTGTCCACATTTAGACGAAGGCTATAATGAAGTCAAAAGTTGAGTGGCCCTGACGGAAGCCAAACCGGGCATCAGTAAGAAGATTATTGCTAAGGAAGTGCTGCTTGATACTACTGTTGATGTCACTCTCATTACTTTACAGATGATTGATAGTAGACTGATAGGTTTGTAGTTTGGCTGGGGTGGGTTTCTCCTGCTTTTTGTGGACAGGACATACCTAGGCAATTTTCCAGTTTGTCAGATAGATGCCAGTTCTGTGACTGTACCACAACAGCTTGGTTGCACAAATCCTGGAATATAAGAATATGAGAAATAAGAGCAGGACTAGGCCATTCAGTCCCTCAAGTATATACTATCATTCAACAAAATCATGGCCAATCTACCCCGGGCCTCAACTCCTCTTTTGTGCCAGCTCAGCATGGCCATCAATTCCTTGATATTTCAAAAATCCATCTACTTTCTCTTTAAATACTTCCAGTGATCCTGTATCTAGAACTCTCGTAGGTACAGCATTCCAGCATTCACTACGCCCTGGGAAAAGAAATTCCTTTACAGCTTAGTTTTAAATGAGTGACCCTTTATTTTGTATGTCCACTAGTTTGAGATCCTCCCCACTGGTGGAGTGTTTTCTTATCATATATTCCATCAAGCGCCCTCAGAATCTTGCATGTTTCTATGAGATCACCACTCATTTTTCTAAACTCTGTTGAATAAAGGCCCAACCTGTTTAGTTGTTCTTGAGAACCCATTCATCCCAGGCGTCAGCCAAGTGAATGTCTTTTGAACAGCGTCCATTGCCAATCTATCCTGTTTTTTAAATACAGGAATAAAAACTGTACATAATACTCCAGGTGCAGAGACAAACAAAAACAGAAATTGCTGGAAAATCTCAGCAGGTCTGGCAGCATCAGTGAAGAGAAAAAAAATGTTAATGTTGACATAGTTTTCCCTTCACAGATTCTCTGAGTTCCCTCTGTGCAGCTCCTTTTTGAAGTCTGTCTTTATTTAAGTATTAGTCTGCCTTTGATTTTTCCTGGCAAAGTGCATGATCATACACTTGCTTATGTTACTTTTGATTCTTCCTACCAAAGTGCATGATCCTACTATTGCCTATGTTAAAGTCTGTCCACCAAGAATTTGCCCACTCACTCAACCTATCTATATCATGTTGCAGATTTCCTATGTCTTCATCACAACTTACCCTCAGACTTATTTTTGTATCATCAGCAATTTTGGATGCTTTATACTCTGCCCCTGTTCTAAGTTACTAATGTAGTTAGTAAATATAATTGAGACCCTAGGACTGACCCTTGTGCACTCCACTAATTATATCTATCCAATCTAAAAATCTACCTTTATTAATACTGCTTGTGGCATCCTCAAAAAACTCTAGCAAATTTATCCCTTTCTCTATCACAAAACCATGTTGACTCTGTTTGACTGTGTTATTTCTTCCTCAATAATGAACTTTAGCATTTTTCCAGTGACAGATGTTAGACTAACAAGCCTATTGTTTCCTACTTTCTCCCTCCCTTCTTGGTCAGGGGCATCACATGAGCAGCTTCCAAGCAGCTGAAACCCTCCCAGATTTCAGTGAGTTCTAGAATATTTTGGCCAATGCTTCCATTGTTTCTGCAGCCCTTTCCTTTTAAGCTCTTGGGTACAAACCATTAGGTACTGGCCACTTGTCTTCCTTGAATCACATTGATTTGTCAAATACTTTGCCCCTCATAAATGAAACTATTACAAGATTTTTCCTCCTATTAGCATCTTGTTTATCAGTTATCTATGGGATGTTCATAGTGTCCTCCACA